GAAAGAGCAAATTTGTTCCAATGTAATTGATGTATTAGAGAATTATTTAGCATATTGCAAACTTTGCATTTGTTTATGTGTCTTCTGTACTCTAGATAAACACAGGAAACTGCATCCAACTGAACAGGGCTATGTTAGAATATACAAAATGCACACCTTCCCACACCTGAAACATCTACCAGCCACAGAGATCACATATGTTACAGCCACACCTGTCTGGTTACAACTTTCCATCAGATTTCAGACAATCTTCTTCTACCACTTCAGTAACTCAAAGCTGTGAACCCATTTTTGGTAGTACTCAGGATTGAACAGGTTGAGGTGCTCCAACACTGAGCTATACACCCAATCTCCCCAGTCTTTTTTTTTTTTTTTTTTGGAGACAGTCTCACCAAATTGCGGGGACTGGCCTTGAAATTGTGATCATCCTGCCTCAGTCTTCCCAGTTGCTAGGATTACAGGCATGTGCCACACTGCCCCACATAAAGCTGTGGTCCTTCTATACCTAAAAGCAAACTCTGGGTCCCTTTCAAGGTAAAATGCGATATTTATTGCAGTATTTATATATTACCATTTAATGGTGATATATTTATATATCACCATTAATCTATGTTTATATTTCATATGTATGTTTATACCTTTAGTTTATATATTAAGCATTTAATGTGTAAAACTATGTTATTTTTATTATGTTATGTTATTTTTATTATGTTATGTTATTTTTATTAGACTCAATCTTTTTTTTAAATGTATCACTGATGAAGTTTTGAGTGTCATACTCCTAACTGAATGTTTATTGTATGACTTTTCATAGCATGCAAACTTTTAGGAGCCTATATGTTGCTTTATAGAATGAATATTAACATTCTGGAGTCAGTCCACTTCTCTACCTCACCACTGCCATCAGTTTAATCTAAGTAACTATCATCTTCTACCTAGACTTAACAGCAATGGTCTAATTCTGCGATACTCAATCAGGGACAGTACTTCTTCACTCCCACCCCTGTCCAGGTCCTGGAAATATATGTGTGGATGGCAGAAGGAGGCAGTTCTGGTTGCCTAGTGATTATTAGAGGGTCACTATTGGTTCAATGAGCAAGAACCTAGAATGTCACAAGTTCAGTAGTGCCACTCAAAAAGGCCAACTACTGCCCCATTAAGAAAAAGTAACTAGGGCTGGGGATGTGGCTCAAGCGGTAGCGCGCTCGCTTGGCATGCGTGCGGCCCGGGTTCGATCCTCAGCACCACATACCAACAAAGATGTTGTGTCTGCCGAGAACTAAAAAATAAATATTGAAAATTCTCTCTCTAAAAAAAAAAAAAAAAAAAAAAGTAACTAGTTTAATCCCAGTGACTCCAGAGGCTGAGGCAAAAGTACTGCAAGTTCAAAGCCAGCCTCAGCAATTTAGTGAGACCCTAAGCAACTTAGCAAGACCCAGTCACAAAATAAAGAGTTAGGGATGTAGCTCAGTGGGGTTCAATCTCCAGTACCAAAAAAAAAAAAAAAAGAAAGAAAGAAAGAAAAGGAAAAAGTAACTGGGTTTTCGTATCTGCTCTTGGTTTTCTCTATATTGCACTTAGAGAGACTTTTTAAAAACACAAATCAGATGCCCCCCACCCTTTTTTGGTACCAAGGATTGAACCCAGAGGCACTTAACCACTGAGCCACATCTCTAGGCTTTTTAATTTTTTATTTTGAGACAGTGTCTCCCTAAGTTTCTTAAAGCCTCATGAAGTTGCTGAGGCTGGCTTCAAACTTGTGATCCTCCTGCTTCAGCCTCCCCAGTTGGGATTCCAGGCATATGCCATTGTACCCAGCCAAATAATGCCTCTTATTACCCTTTAAAGCTTCCCCTTACCCTAAAGATAAAGATCAAAATCAAAATATGGTCCTGCTTTCCTCTTCAGTTTCATCATACCAGTCTCTTCTTCCCATATTCACTATGCTTTAGGTAGTCATTCACTCAACATATAATGATTAAATTGTCTATGGGCCATGAACCATTTGAAGTAATGGAAATAAAACAGTAAACAAGAGACAAAAGTTCTGCATCCTCATGGTTTCTATGAAGCTGCCAGGTTTCTCTTCATCTAAGGGCCTTACTGCAAGCTGTTCTCTGTGCTTAGTCATTCCTCCTTCACTCTTCAGTTTAGACAACCTTTCTCAGAAAACTATTCTTTGATTCCACCCAACTAAGTCATGTTCCTTATTATATGATCCGCAACTCTGAACTGTTCAGCGTTCTCAATTCAGCTGAAATTGTTTGGTCAACATCCATTTTTTCTGTTACATTCCCAGAGCCTAGCATAGTACCTGGCACACAGAAGGCCCTCAAAATTTATTTCTTGATGAAAATGTATACATTTATATACATGCACATGTCTTTAGACTATATGAACACAAAGAAACATTCATGTCTGTTCATATTTTCACATATTTCTGCAGGTGATTATTTATGTGGATATGTAAATACATGGGCATGCACATAAGGATATGTATAATTTCGAGTATACTTACTTGGGTGTATTTATTCACACGAGAACTTGTGTGTCCTTAGGCGTGTGTGTGTGTGTGTGTGTGTGTGTGTGTGTATGCACGGGTGCGCATGTGTATTTTTTCTGGCCCTTCAGTGACAGCTTTGCCCTCCTGGAGGAAGCTGGGAGCAGGGCCCCAAGTATTCTCTAAGCTGACAGCTCAATAAAAGTCTAAGATCATTCAATGACATTCCAAATGTCAGCAAGCACTGGCTTGCTCTACTCTGCTACAGGGGAAGTAGATGGAGGCGGGAGATGTAGAAACCTGGCTGTTGAAAAGCTGCTCTTTCCTGACCCAGCCCATACCATTTCTGGACAAGATAGGACAGCTGAGAGATGGCACTTTGCTTTTCTTAGATTAGGGGCTTTAGGAAATGGGTGAGTTCAGTCCCAGTTGCTCACTTAAGGGTACATTTGGAATGATGTGACTAGAAGGCACTAGAGGTTAGATCCTTTGTTTTTCCCAGATCTGCTTGGTTTACCTCACAAGAGGAAATCACAAGGCCAACTGGAAATAGAGTCCTAAGTTTCCCCTCGTGCTCATTTCCTCCCTCTATCTTGACAGTTGGTGGAGAAACAAGCTGATGAGGCTCAGGACTTCCTCCCCCACCCTTTGGGCCCAACAGCACCAAGGTGGCCCTGCGTGGCAATGTTACCACATGGGTCAGCTGCTTTCCTGCCTTTCTGCCAAGGAACCTAGAGGCGTGGAGCTGTCCACACACCAAAAAGTCAAGTGAACTTCACAGAGTAATTGTTCATGGTCAGCGCCTGCTGCGCCTGGACGGGTCTTCACATTGCATTTGCTGAGGCTAGACAGCAGCCTCAGATGAGCTCTGACAGCTAGCATGCTGTCTTTCAGGAGTGTATGCCCAGCCACGCAGGCATGCTTAGCACACCAAGCCCTGCCTGGGAAGCCTCTGTGGAGTTAGTTCTCAAAGATGATCCAGTCAGCAGCAATTATTCACCGAGAACATATTCTGTACCCAGCCCTGGTCTAACCACTGGGGACACAGAAGAGACTCAGTCTCTGTACTCCAGGTGTACATGTCTGGGAGGAAAATACATGGACTCAGTTTCAACTGAGTTAACTAATCCCAAGTGCCAAAGAGCCTCAGGGAAAGAGAGGCTCAGCAGAAATGATACCTAGGTGGATTTTCAGGGAGAGGGAATGTGTACAATGAAAATAACTGGGGAGATGATTTCAGGCAGAGGGAAGGCCAGAGGCCAGGTCCCAAAGGTAGGACAGAGCCTAGTCTTCTCAAAGATGAGAAGTAGTAGATGGCATTGGCTCAGCTGCAGGGGAGATCAGCAGGAGAAGTGGATAGGGGTAAAAGTACAGAGAAGTCAGAGTGCAAAGGACATCTGTAAGTATTTGTTTCACATCCCTTGGACTTGGTTCCATGCTTTGTGGCAGCAGTTGCCACAAACTTTCTCTTCTACTATTCTCCCACATGTTTGCTTAGCTCTAGCCACACACACCAAAAGCATGATGCTCTCGCTGCCTAGAAATATTATTTCTTCCTTGTATCCATATTGCCCAGTTTAAGATCCAAATCTTCCCAATACCTAGCCTGAGCACCCTGCACCCCTGCAAAGGCTTCTTTTTTCTGAGTTACCACCCTGATCCCTAGTGTGTTCTTCCTTCTTTTGGCTTCCTGGGAGTTGCTAAACTGACCAGAAGCATGAGGTTCCTGAGAGTGCTCTAAGGCTCTTTTCCTATATCAGAATGATTTATGGGGGTTAGTCTCCTAGTGAATTGGGCCTTCTGTAATAAGGATTCCTCTAGACAGAGATGTGGGGAGTCTAAACCTATATATCCTTCCTACTGCTTACCTAGAAAACACAACAAACACAGAGAAAGTACAGTTTTCTGGATGATTAATTCTCTACCACAGTCATTGTCTTAGCTACACAGGATCCTTAACAGCCCAGAGCTTTAGTACCAACTCTCGAGGTCCTCAGGGCTGCATTAGTGCCAGTCTCCTCCCTCCTGTACACATGAATGAGGCACTGCTAAGGCTAGGTGGGACCAAAACCAGCTTATATGGATTCTCCTCTCAATCAGAGGGAGATACCAAGGCCAATCAAGAGGCTCAGAGGCTACGCTCTTGAGGTCACCAAAGAATACTTTCCCAGAGACTCAGCTAGCACCCCATCTCTTACTAATAATGTGGCTCAGCCCAGAGATTTGGCTCTGACTGAGAACCCTGGAAAATTCCTTTATCTGGGACCTCTATGCATATCTGTGTAAAAGCAACTAGAACAGTATATTTTACCTAGTCCTCAGCAGATTCCCACTCCCAGAAATAACTATAACATTTCAGTACACATTAGCTAGGGAAGAGGAAGAAGAGATGTTGGGAAAAAAGAAAAGAGAACAAAAAGAAAAAGATAACAGAAATGGGAGGGGAGCTCTGAGGCATAGGAGAACCCGAGGAAGACCTTGGGTAGGGCTCAGATAGTACCTTTTTCAGATTAATCCACTGCTTGAAGTAATCCGCCACTGGCAAACCCAAGTACTGGCACTGGCCTGGAAGCCTACAAAAAAGGGAAGAGAGAACAAGTTGGACACACACATGCCCCAGGCATGGAGTCTTAGGCTAGGAAGTCCCAATAAAGTCTACAGGACAAATAGACTCCAAAGGCTAACCCATTAGCCATGGATCCCACCCCACTCAAGGAAAGGACCCCGACCTCTAGCACCATACACTCTGGGCTCTAGAATCAACCCTCGGATCCAAGTGTGAGTGCCTGAAAAAGCTATTCAAAATAATACTAGCAACTACTCTTCCCTAATGGCCTACAGTATGCTAAATATCTTGCTTACACTTTTCACATCTAACCTCCAATGGATTGCTGTGAGATAGTGTTATTTACAGTTTCCACACACACACACACACACACACAAAATGATACTCAAGCAACAAAAAGCAGACTGACATAACTGTATTCCTTTCATTTCCTTTTCTTGTCTTATTGGAATATGAGAGTTTTTTTGAAACAGTAATCTTTTGAACCCAGGGCCTCACCCATATTAGGTAACACTCTGATACTAAGCTACACCCTCAATTCTTGTTTGTTTGTTTTTTTTTTTAAACCATAAATAGGTATATGATTCTGTCAAATGGTTTTCTGGAAAAATAAAATAAATTATTGTTGTGTAAAAAGAGAGAGAAAAAAATGAAATTCAGAGGGGGTTATTCAAGGTCCCACAGCTAAAAAATGATAATGCCAAGACTGAACTCAGTTCTGTCAGACTCTAAAGCCTATGTTCTTTCCAATGACCCAGTCTCTTGTTTAGTTATAGCAAAGAGGCAGAGATACAAGATAGGAGGAAAGAGAGGGAATGAGCACATGATGTAGAGATAGATAGGCAGGGACTCACTTCACTTTTAAACCTCTACCTGTAGGCTTATTTCAGATAGAGAAGGAACCATGCATTAGAGTAAGAGGAGGTCATGGGCTGGGGTTATGGCCCAGTGATAGAGTGCCTGTCTAGCATATGTGAGGCACTGGGTTTAATCCTCAGCATTACATAAAACTAACTAACTAAATAAATAAAGGTATAAAAATAAGAGGACGTCAGAATTAAAACCAAGGGTCTATTCTTGTTTTGTTTCTTTCAAATATAATCTACCATCTCCCGCTCTAGCTGATGATGCCATTTTATCCACACAAATCAATTTCAACCAAACATGTATGATACCTGATGAGAATCAAGAAATAAGGATCCAAATAACTCTGAAAATGTTAACTCTGTAAATGCCTCAGTTTGTTCAGAGGAATTGACAGTGAAAGTAAAAAAGGTGCCTTGAACTGGAACATAAAGGCATGTGGAAGGACAGAGAAAATTCATGCCACTAGAAACATAAACCAGAAAAGATACAGTGTTTTCTTTCTAAGAAAAGTGGCCACAGGCAATAAAGAGCCTCTGAGGAGTTCTAATTTACAGACAATTGTCCTGGGGAAACAAAAACAATAGATTAAAAAAGCCAGGTGGTAGCAAGGATACCAGAGACAGTAGTGGCAGAGACAGAGATCAAGCAACAGACATAGGAGATTTAAATAAGAACCTGGTAACCACATGAGATATGGGGTTTACTATTCTTTAGAACTTGAATAGGTACTTAGGGGCAAATATCCCTATATATTTTTAACACAAACACATTCATTCCTTCAGGAAAAAACTACCAATATCACTGACAGCTGCCAACCCACAACTACAGATTCTGGCTTTAAAGGTCAAAATTCAAATTCTAGTATCCAATAACACTCTTTCTCAGGCTGACTTTGTGTTAGCCAAATACCCAGCCTGTGGCGCTACTGGGAGGTGGCAGAACTTTTAGGAGGCAGGGCCTACTCAGAGGAAATTAGGTTATTGGGGGGATGCCATGTAAAAGGATAATTTGGATTTGTGCCCCTTCTTCTCCCTGCTTCCTGGCTTCTGTGAGGTGAACAAACCTCTATCACACGCTTCCGCCACAATGTTCTGTCTTGCCACAGATCCAAAGCAACAGGGCCAGATGACCACAGACTGAAACCTCTGAAACAATGAGCCCAAATATATCTTTCCTCTTTTTAAGTTTATTATTTCAGGTATCTTGTCATAGTAACAAAAAGCTGACTAACACACGGCTCAAAAAAAGAAAATAAGGCAGCCCAAGCCAAAAGTTTGTGGCTTGGGTAGAGGTACAGTTTGAGTACATCCCTCAAAGCTAATGTGTTGGAAACTTAATCTCCAATGCGACATGTTAAGTGGTAGGACCTTTACGAAATGATTAGGATTAATGCTAGTTATAAAAGTGGGTTTCTGATAAAAGGATGAGTTTGGCACCTTTCCTTTGTCTGTCTTTCACACACATGCTCTTTTGCCCTTCTGCCTTCTATTATGGGATGACACAGGAAGAAACCCCTCACCAGATGTGAAGCTCTCAACCTTGGACTTCCCAGACTCCAGAACTGAGAAATGAATCTCTGGGTAATAAATTAACCAGTCACAGGAATCCTGTTATAGCAACACAAAACAGACTAAAACAACTAGCTTCACACTACACACTAAGATAGAGGAGGTGGTAACAAAGAAAGCATATTTGAGGCCAGGATTTGGTCAATTTTATCATGGTCTTTAAGTTTTCTGCATATAGAGTACCCCTTTACTGCTTAAACTGGGGTAGACTGCCCCTACTACCCCACCTCTGCCTCCTTTTAGTATATCACTAAAAATGCTTGCTAAGCTCAGTTATTTTAGTATATCACTAAAAGAAGGCAGAAGTTTGGGAATGCAAATTTCAGATATATGTCTGACACAAGGTAAACACTCAATGTCTGCTGAATTTGAGGATCCTAGGAGACATCTGACAATAGAATGTCATCTATGAGGCAGCTACATACTAGTTCTGCAGAGATATCTGGCCTAGGAATATAGATCATTGAATCATTAATTTAATGTAAGGAAAATTAAGAGTAGATATTACTATACTCATCTGGGAAGAACACAGAATGAAAGTGAGCAGAGGGCCAAGGCTAATGTCTTATAAAGTTTATTGAGCTAAAATGAAACCACCTCTAGTAGATGGTCACCACATACAAAGAACTCATACTTCACAGAGCAGACAGCTCTAATTTTGAACTCAATTTTAGAACATCTTTCCTTAAACACTTAACTAAACCCTGGTGTTCCCACAACTCTATTCATAAGCCAGAGGTATGTCTTCAGAAACTACAGAGACTTCTATTTCTTCCTTGCAGAACCCTTCAAGATCTGAGAGCCCAGAAAGCTTCCTTTAGAATTCCCTTCTCCAGGCCCCAAACCCTCATCTCCTTTCAGAGTTCCTCAGGAAACAATGTGTCATGAGTCAGGACTCAACCAATTCACCCCATTCCCAGAAAGCAGGGCCCCAAACCTTTTTCAGGTTATCAGACACTGAGGTCACACATTCTCTTTTGACCCCATTTCACATCATCTATGGCCAATCTAAACCAAGAAAGTATGTTTCCCTTTTCTGTAATATTTATAACTATTTCTTGAGCTTAAAATACAGGTCATTCGTGTCAAGTGTCATGGAGTGGGAAAGCAGGAAGAGAGCTGAGAAAACCCCAATTGATTTGGTAATAGGAGGTTACAGGCAATTTTGGTGAGAAGGGTGTTAATGGGCCAGGTGGGGGTGGGCAGAGACAGCTTGCAAAGTGTTAAAGAGTGAGCAAGAGACAAGAATGTAAACTTTTTTTTTTTTTTTTTAGGTCTGGCTATGATAATTTAGTTATAAGACAAGTTTGATCCAGAAACTTTAAGAGCAATCTAGCCTTCCCTCCATTATCCTACAGATACCTCAACAACAGATGCTAACAGGAAATTGACTTCCATATTTTAGGCAATATAAAGTAAAGATTTACTTTTATATGATCCAAGATATCTTCTGTGAGGAACAGGAACAGGGTCCTCTCAAACATCCAGGTGGCACAGTGATGTTAATTTATAACCAGTCAGTTTTCTGGAAGAGAAGTTCTGGCTAAGGCCAAGAGGATAAATGGGGATATCCAGAGAGGATGTGCCCATACGGGACCAAGGATCAAGGATAAGAGAAAATTAGGTAAGGTTTTTAAGGATAAGAAGTAGCCTTAGAGCTAGAATGTGGTTGCCTAAGAAGCAAAACTATAATCTGATGTCTCAAGTAATTTCCTTCAACCAACCTCCCTCCCTCCCTCCCTCCCTCTCCCTCTCCCTCTCTCTCTCTCTTCAATATTTGCTTTTATAGTTGTAGTTGAACCCAGCACCCGGCACATGCTAGGTGAGCACTCCTACCTCTGAGCCACAACCCCAGCCCCCAACCTTCTCTTATGTTCCTTGTCCTTGGTTTGAAAAATGTTTGCTAAGCTCAGTTATTTTATTTTTCTCTCATAGTTTTTATTTGTACATAACAGTTAGTTGTTACATATTTGTACATGTACACAGTATAATTTGGCCAATATCATTCCACAGTATTTCCCCTTTTCCTTCCTTCCCACCTCCCCCTGGTCCTTTTCTTCAACTGATCTCCCTTAGGTGTCTCATGACACCTTTCTTTCTCATTTTTAAAATTTTTTCTTTGTACTTATACATGCCAGAGAATGTATTTTGACATATCATACATACATGGACTATAACCCTCATTCTTGTGGTTGTACATGATATGGAATTACACTGGTGATGTATTCATATATGAACACACAAGTTATGTCCAATTCATTCTATTGACTTTCCCAATCCAATCTCCCTTCCCTTCCCCCAATCCCCCCTCCCCTGCACCCATTCCCCCCACCCAATCCAGTGAACCTCTACTCTACCCCCCAACCCCCAGCCTACTGTGAGTCAGTATCCACATATCAGAGAACATTCAGCTTTTGGTTTTTGGGGATTGGCTTATTTCTTAGCATGATAGCATCTAGTTCCATCCATTTACTGGCAAATGCCATAATTTCATTCTTCTTTATGCCTGAGTAATATTCCATTGATTATATGTACCACATTTTCTTCATCTATTTAAGGGCACCTAGATTGG